TTGCACCTTCAAAACTTCCCCTTCACAGGAAGTAGAGATCCAGAGAACAGCACCTGAAAGTATAGCATTGTTCTTGCTTCCAAAGATGATAAATGACTCAGAAATTTTAATGAAGGGGCCCAAGGGAACGATGATTCATTGCTAAAACTAGGTACAACCTAATCCAGCATTACCAACATAGAACCTTACAAATGTTTTAACAATTCTTAGCATTCCTGACCATTGGCCATATGGGCTGGGGCTGATGGGAGCTGAACTTCCAAATATCTGGAGCACATCAAGTTGGGGAAAGCTGACCTAATCAGTCCTCTGAAGGGAAGACTATTTGGAGCCCTATTTGGTGCTAATTCTTGTTCCTTTTTGCCCTTGCTTGGATCCCCTATTGAAAAGTCACACTGCAGAAGGAAAACATTAGTGCCTTCGGTTGCAATGGGATAGGACTGGGCAACAGACTTAAGTTTTGTTGGTAACTGATCACTGGAAAGAAGCTTTCTGAAGACCTGTGGGTGAGCCATTTAAAATATCATCATAAATATATTGAAGTTGTTAGTATTTGCAGATAGGTAACTGCAAACAAGACTTCCTTTCCTGCTTTGATCGAACTAAAAAACAGTCCTCCAAATGTAAAACCACAAGTATTGAAGAGACAGTCACACACACCACCTGTGTATCTTTTATTTCATTCCATTCAGAATGAAGTCAAGTTTTACCCTCTACATGGTACCCCTAGAAGAAACCATCCAGGGCTTTCAGATGCATCGTCACCTATATCAAGATGTCTTGCAGCTCTATTTTTCATCCACTGCCAAGGTCACTGTTGATGCTCTGGATTTGTCTCTGACAATGGTAACACGCTGAATGCAGGCCAATAAATTGAGACTTAATCCAGCCAAGATAGATGCTCCTGTTCAGGAGACAAATGCATCCTGGAGCAGGAATTTAGGCTAGTTCTCTTCTTGAAAAATAAAGTATACAGCTTGGAATGCTCCCAGAGTCAGTTTGGTATGTTCCCAAGGTGGCCATCCCTGATGAGGTACACAAGCACCAGAAGGACAAAGAAAAGAAAAAAGACAAGAAGAATGAATGAATGTGTAAGTGAATAAATGTATGAAGTAGTGTATGTTGATTCTACCATATGCCTACAGAAAACTGCCTATTACAGGGACTGTAGCCCTATCCTCCTTTCAAGACTTGTTTGGATTTCCATTTGGCTGACAATGGTCTGCTTATGCCTCACTACAGGTCTTAATTCCATCATCTGGGAAAGTGAAGGAAGCAGGGCTGAGTTGTGTGAAGATAATACAGCATTATGCAAATGATTAAATCCTAGCAACTTCTTTCACAAAAGAGCACCTCTGTCAGGTCAACAATGTCCCCCAGTTGGAGGCTAATACGTTTCAGGAGCCAAGCGGATCCCCAGCTTCTCCAAGGGCTGCCAGGAGTGATTGATGGAGGCCATTTATCTTGTTGAGAAGATGACAGGCCCATAGTCTGGAAAAGAAGAGAGGGCCCGTCCCCCTTTCTTCTCAGGATGGCAGTCTTTCTTCCTGCCTGCATCCCTGTATCACTTGCCTATACCTCATGTTACCATCAGCAACATCTTTCATTTTGCAAGCCTGTCTGAATAATAATATGAAAAAATCTCGTCCCACTGGCGAGGAAAGCTTTGTATCCTAACAAGAAAAGGCAGCACCTCCCACGGCTCCTGCTTTGGGCATGTGCAAACTGAAGCTTCTCTCACTGCTCTCATGGTTTGATGCTGTAACGCTAAAGAGAATGGTGGAGGAGGGGGAAGAATACCCTGTATGAGAGGTCCCAACTGGCATAGTGTTTTTGTGCCACAGTCAGCAGTTTCAAGACTGCACCCCAAACCACTGCGGCTGCAATGCTTTGCTTTAAGCAGAGATCAACACAGCTCCTTTGTGGCTTGCAGGCAGCAGGTGGGCAAAATCGTGTCCATTCTCCACCTCCCATCCTGCAAAGAAAAGCTTCCATGCAGAAGGAGCTGAGCACAGCAGGAAATATTCAGAAGCTGCATCTCAAAAAGTGAACAGTAGGATTGAGAAACCACTGCCCCCTTCCCACAACTGACAATGTTTGGACCCCTGTGCAGGCAGGAAAGTTGTGATCACATCAGTAATTCCTGTCCAGATGCTTTAATGCATTTTAATGGACCACCTTGCAGAATAGCAGGCACACCAGATCCTTGCCTGCTCAACTTCTTCACATAGCTGCCTATTTTAAGCACTTTTTAAAGTACTGCAGTCTTGGACACAGAGAGATCACCAGACCATGGCCACCTTTCAGCTAGCTTGGTTCAGTTTACAGTGGAAGAAAAGTTGCATTGGCCAAAATGGGGGGGGGGGGTGCTGAGGAGCAAGCACTCAGATCAACATAATCTAAATGTAAGGTGGATGTACGTATTACACCAGCAGTAGACAATCCAGTATCCTTCAGCTATTTTTGATCATAACTCCCATAGTCCCTGAATATTGACCAGGATGACTGGGGCTGATAGGAGATGTAGTCCAAAGAGATGTCAGGTCGCCTACACATTCATTACACTGATACTGCCATCACAAATTGACATGCAACTGTACGCCAACCTTTTCCAACTTGACTTCCTTCACATGTGTGGGAATACAATTCTTACAATCCTGTTGGCCACCTGGAGGCATCAAGTTAGGAAAGCCTAGTCTCAGCCATCAGCTGTTTGCATGAATAGGTTACATGATGTCCTTGTGTTTTAAACCAATTACAACCATGTCCTGGACATTTCATTTTGGACAAAATTTCCAGGTATGCATATGATCTGCTCCAGTCCTGAGAGTCCCTAAGCAGCTAACCAAACAAGGATCTCCCTGTGCTATTGGTATAAATTGTACATGGGTTTGAGTCAGCCATGGGGGAAGATGAGGTTCACTGTCTCCTAATTTATAAAGGGAATTGTTAGGTAAAGAAATGCTTTATTGTCTAACTTTCTGCCATTATTATTATTATTATTATTATTATTATTACATTTCTATGCCGCCCCTTGCCGAAGCCTCGAAGCCATTCTGTTTCCTTGAATACTAGCAAAGCAGGTGATTTATAGTTGTCTGGACAGCAACTGTGTAAAGTATGCCAGTAGCTTTATATTTTTAAAGGGTTGATTTTTAAAATGTGTGTATGTGTGTGTGTCATTTTATCAGAGCTTGAGAACATTCCACAATACATCATAGACCAAACATGCATGTCAGTCATGTTTTCTCCCCCAAATAAAAGCACACCATGTAATATGCAAAGAATCCATAAGGGGCACATGGAAATGGTGAGAAGACAATCTAGAAATTTACACATGTGTAAGGGTTGGAGATACTGACTTTTAAAGCTTTCTGCTCTCCCACATGGACACACTCAGAAGTGGTCTAGGGCAGGTTGGTATCTGAGGCTGAAATTCCAAATTCCCCCACTGCTTTAGAGATGGAACTATAATAAATATGCAGACATTGTCAAGTTTAATCATCAGTATTAGATCATGAAGAAAATATGCAATCTCTAGTTGTTGGGCAGCAATGGGTGCTATTGCATTTAAGTCCTACTCATGAGTTTCCCAAAAGCATCTGGTTGGCCACTGTGGGAAAAAGGATGCTAGAATAGGTGGACCTTTGGTCCAATCCAGCAGAGCTCATTATGTGTTCTTACCCGACTCTGTTCACTCCAGTATAAGTGTGCATAGGACCACAGCCAAAGCCATTAACAATTAACCACCCTTTGAACAAGACCCTGAAATCTACTGCCTGGGGCAGGCTGTTTTATCTTGCTTGAGGGCAATCTGGACCTGAACACTATGACAACACATGTATCCTACTTTAAAGGCAACTAAGAGAGCCATTAGCTGTCATAAACCAGTTTAAAAAGAAGAAATCTATGCTTATTGGTCTCTTTGTGAAGAAAGATCAAAGAGCTAGGTAGCTTCCTTTCATCTTCCCTCAGACACTTAGGGTGCAATCCTATGCATATTTAGATAGAAAAAGGTCTCACGGCCCAACATGTCTACATGTGGAATGCTGGGAGCTGTAGGGTATTTTTACTTATACCTAAACATGTACCCTAAATGGATGTTATTTGTTAGCCACTTGTGTCAACCTTCAGGAGCCTTTTGGCATAATATGTATTGGATCTGCTAATGTTTAATAGCAAGGACAACTCTGAGGAAATGCAGATTTTTCACTGAGCCCAACCCAGGCAGGATGAGAGGAGCTTCGGTCATTTAAGTAGAAAAGGTGCTCGATGAATTCAACTTCCTACAGAAATCTGAAAAGCAGTCATAAGCCTGGTAAGAATTGTTAGACTCATAAAAATAAGCACACACTTGGACTTTTTTTATCCCTGTTAGAAACAGTATATGGTATTTAGGTTACAAACTGTAGCTTTCACGATAGATCTGGAAAGGATCCTGCATATTAGGAGATTGTTTTCATTTTCTTTACCTGTTTGTTGCTTCTGTTCAAGTACCCTCTTTCCTCAACATCCAAGAAAAATGCCTCTTCTCATAATAGAGCCATGCTTCAAAAGCACACCTAGTCTCAATAATCTCAACAGAATAGACTTCTGATTTTAGGATTTTCATCTATACACAATTGCTTATACCAAAACCCCATGAGTCCATCAGTGAAGTTGCCTTCTGGAAAGATTTTCACAAAATCCAGTGGCTTACACAGTAAGCTATCTCTTGTTTACCATATTACAAAAGAACATAGGAGACCATCATTTCATCAAGTACAGTTTTCTGTTCCTGCAGTGACTAACCAGCTGCCCATGGGAAAACCACAAGCAGACCATATGTACAACAACTAACTTCCAGCTGTGTTCCCCAGCAACTGGTGCACCTATGCATACCGCCTGATACTGGAGGGGGCACACAATCTTCAAGACTAGTAACCAGTGATAGCCTTTTCATCCATGAATTTGTCTAGTGCCCTTCTAAAGGCATTCAAATTGGTGGCCATTAGTACATTTTGTGGAAGTGAATTCCATAGTTGAATTCTGTAATGTGTGAAGAAATACTGCTTTTATCTGTCCTGAATCTTTTGCCAGTTGTCTTCATGAGACAACTCATGGTTCTAATTATGAAGGAGAAAACTGTCTCCCTGCTCATTTTCTCCAACCATGTATCATTTTGTACACCATGATGCCTTTTTTCTAAACTAAACAATCCCAGTTGTTGTGCCCATTCTTCATGGGGAATTATTCCAGTCCCTTCATTAGTTAAGTTGCCCTTTCTTGCACTTTTTCAAACTCCACAATAATCTTTGTTAGATGCAGTGAGCGGAACTGCATACAGTATTCTAAGTGCAGTTGCACCATAGATTTATATAAGGGCAGTATAGTTTTAATTGCAATGCCTGTACTAATTACACCTAACATAGAGTTTGCCTTTTTCACAGCAGCCTCACTCTGGGTTAAACCAAGCATGCCACCAAGGTTGTATTGAAAGCAGTACACATTTGCAAGTCACATTTTTTCTCTCTACACAATATTGGGAAGGTGTTTTAGCTTTCATAAATACATTATACATCCTATTTACAGCTGCCAACAGACTCTGGGGAAACATTAACCGGCCATCCACAAAATGAAAGGAATAATGATGGTAGGGAGAGTGGTAGAAGGTGCCAGACCCAGGCAGAATATAGAAACCAGTCCCAGCAGTGCTGCAGCAAGAACGCTCCTCTGATCCCGAATGATCATCTTCACCGTTTCGCAGAACTGCAAAGATCAGAACAGAACTCTTTAGCATGTAAAGTAAGAGAGGCGTCCAGTTGCATGGAAGGAGGATATATCCATATTGTTTACATCATCATCATCAATCTTCTTCTTGTGAGGAATCTAAGATGGCTTACATGAGCCTCCTCTTCTGCGTATATCCTAACAATGATCCTGTGAGGTAGGTTTGGAGGAGAGTAATCATCCAGTGGCTAAGTAGGGACTAGATCTGGGTGACTACTCTCCTCCAAACCGACCTCAGAGGATCATTGTCAGGATATACGCAGAAGAGATTTGGTGAACTAATAGCTGTGTCCTTTGCAGAAGTCTGTCTGGGCTCTAAGCTGCACCATTTGACTTCAGCGAAAACTCAGGCCTTATGCTGGGTGAGCTCTAGGCTCTGTTGTTTGAAACATATTACCCTCTACACACATTCAGCCTGCACTTGGTAGTTCTCCACATGACTGGGTCTTCCAATCTGCTTTGACCACAAAGCTCTATTACATGAATGCAAGACAAACACATCCCTGCAGAATTTAAACAGGGGCAAAGGATTTTAGAGGCAGCTCCACACTCAGGAGCATTTGGAGTGGGGCTTGTATACATGTCCTCACATGCACTGGCTAAGTACTTGCATAGGATGATCGAGTGTATAAGAAGCAACATCATACACACAATAGATCCATCAAGTTTGGCGTACGCTTGCCTCTAATCCACATCACTGCCAGCGCCAGAGGCCACACTTTCATCTAAACTCCAAATCTCTCAGGTGGTTTATGTGTTTCTAAAACCACTGAGATTGTCAGTGCTGTACTACAACCTTCCACAACCTGGTACCTTCCAGGTGTGTTGAACTCCCAGCCAGTGGAAGGCATCAGACTGGGGAAGACCAGTGTACTGCAATGCACACGACACTCTCATTTTCCTGGGCATTGTGTTATTTCAGAGACCTTGAGTAGGTGTTTTTCAAGTCAGTTTTGATTGCCTAGAAATCTAAAAGGCCTTGACAGTTATACATCCCCCAATCATGTTTGTGGTTTCAGGGCAAAAGATGATGAAAACTGCTATGTGCAACCTATCTTGGTTGCACATCCATCTTGGTTTGGAATGCAATGGTGGGACTAAAATGGACAGAAGATGAAAAATAAATGTGCCAATCTGCAGTGACAACCCAGTCTGGGTCATCAGGTAGTGAATAGTATAGTGGTAGGTTTTTATTTTTATAAAGTGTATTTAAAATGAATGAATGAAAGCTTCAGAACCAACTGCCCTATTTCTCAGAGAAACAAGCACATCAAAAAGAAAGAAAGGAACCAAACCAGGGGGCCTAAAGGGTTTAAAAGTTGTGAGTCCTTTCCAGCTAAGCTATTTATTAGACTATTGAAAGAGTTTACAAAAACTCTGTTATATGAGTGTTGCTAAACAGTAACGCCAATTAAAATCAGTTTTTGTCTCTCTGAAACCTGGCAGTTGTAAATCAGTTCACTGGCAGTTTACGTAGATGCAATATTTTTTAAAAAGATAAATTAAAGCAGAATAGCTCCAACTCTGTTCCCTGCCTACACTGAGCACAGAGAACTAATCTGTGCTCCATTCTAATTAACACTGCCTCCACTACAAGAAATTATTTGCTTGGTACCTAAATAAATCTGACGTATTTCCTTTGGAAGACTTCATCAAGCTCTGCTTGTAAAATATACCTTTGAGCTGACCTGAGGCTGCTGCTTGTGTTACTCTCAGTCCCTGCACAAATGTGCCTTTATTTTACTTGAATGGTAGGAGAAAGTGACCAGTTCTGCTCTTAATACATCTACCCCCAGTTACAAAGTATTCTAAGGAGGAGAACCTAAACAGCACCATCAGATTTAGATGGCTGCTATACCAGATCAAAAATATCATAAGTTGAAAGCCACCTTTTGGAAAGATGGCTTTAAAAAACAAACAAACAAACAAACAGGCCTTTTATCGTACTAAAGCATATCTGTTCAAGAGAATTCACATTGTACAACCTAACTTAATAACTTTTTAAATAAAATTTTAGTCCCTGTTCCCACCTTCCCCGTTTGACAGTAGAGCCCTGTTTCCGTAGCATGGCTAAGCTCTGAAAGCAGGGTTTTTATGTGCCCAACCACAAAGAGATCCCAACCCAAAAGATGGATTTAAACCAAATCAGGCTGGACTCAGGCTGTGTGGCGAGTCGCTGTGCTTCATATGGCTGTTTACAAGTTCTTTTAGTATGCCGCTAATCAGAACAATGAAAGGTTTTTACCTCCTATATTGACACACTGCCTGCTAGGTGGAATGATACTTGGAAAATACCAAATTCAGCATGGCCATTAGCTGCCCTGAGAGCAAAATACCCAGGAGAACTATTGGGCCCCTTGCAAGATGTCAGATCTGGTGGAGTGGAGTGGAGTGGAGGGCTATAGCCATGATTTGCCCACTTTTGAGGGTCTGAAGGAATACTGCACAACATTTAAAGAATGAACTGAAAACACTGCTGCACTCTGAGCAGAGAACAATCTCCTCCTTTGGAAGCACCATTGATTATCACATTTGCTCTTCCAACATAAATGTGAAGGAGGGGGAAGCAAGAATGCTTTGCCAAACTGCATTTGAAACAAGACCGTTCTCTGCCTGGGTTCATGTTCAGACAGGAGAACTGAATGGTTACAGTTACCGCAACATCACTGTGCTTCCTTGGCGCCAACAACTTGCTCTGCCCAGTTTTTAATGATTCTGGCTCCAGCAGCACATTACGTATCTGGATATCAATCCTGTTGTGACAAGCAAAGGAAGCCAGGACTCACATCTTACAGATAACAGGAAAGATGTTATGGTCTCTTATGGTTAACTAGATTTTTTTTAATTAATAGTTAGCTACTAGGGGTTAAAAGCAAAAGAAAAATGACAAAGCCCCACTACCACCCACAGAGAGAGAGTTTTCTTCAGCCGTTGGACTATAATACTAATGCCCAGACTGGTAGGTGGATGATAGGAGTTGCAGTTCAACACACCTGAAGGGTGCCAATTTGGGGAAGACAAGACTGAATACTTGTGCAGCTCACTTTCTGTTCTGGGGAGGAAAGTGTAGGAGGAAAAATGTTTACATAAATATATTAAAACTGAACTATGTTGAGCCCCACACAGACACAGCACTGTGCGCTTGTCCTTCCTTCCCTCTTCCATTCTGATCCTCAAAGTAAGTGGGCAGTTTACCTTGTCAGTCTGGAAGCTGATGGAAGACCCATATCTGCAGAAGGTCACAAAATGTTCGCAATTGTTCCAAAGTAAGCTGTATTCAGTGGTGCCCACCAGCTTCTTTGCTCTACTGACCACCTCCTCGTTACACAGGACATTGTTCTTGAAAAATTTGTCCATGTCATTCACCAAAATAGAGCCTCCATAAGCAAAGTCCTCCACCGTATCCACACGAATCCTGGCCATTTTTGTGATGACACCCAAGATGAGTCTCTTATTGGTCACCACCTTCTGGATATGTTTCTGGTTACTAGTAAGAGCTGGTAGGATGTCTGGCATAAGGTGGGCCACCCGGTTGTCCCCCAGGTAAATGCCAAAGTGAATAAAGAGGGTGCGGGGCACCTCCAGCAAATCCCCTGGCTTGAAATATGTTGTGTCATAATAGCAAGCATGCTTTTTCTTTTCTTCCTCCTCTGCACTGGAGCCCATACCAAGAAGTTTAAAGTTGGCAAGCAGAAGAAACTTGTCCAGCAGCAGGGATGCTATTTCATACATTGGATTTTTCATGGTCTTACTCTTCTGTGGCTGCAGCTGCTCTTCCTACTGATTCATTCTGCTTCAACATCCTGCCTTTTTATCATGGCAAGAGGGGCTATCCCACAAACGCCATCAACTTTGATTGGCAAAAAGGCAAGTGGGTGGGTACTGTGGAGTGAAATAAACCTTTACTCAGAAAGCAGCTGTGTCAGAAAACATTTTGCAGAAGAGTTAATTGTTTATTAATCACAGAAAGCACTACAAAAATTTAACCTAAACTAAATACTGCTTCCAGCATTACATTGTCAGGTTGCAAGTGCTTAGTAAACAAGCATCTTGGCAGTACATGATAATGACAAAGCACTAGCCTTCTGACTCACATTGTTGTATAACGGTGTCTCAGCCCATGATGGAAGGTCACTTGAGAAAACACTTAAGGACATTATGAACTTCAGGGTTATGTCCAAGTAGATACACAGGTGCCTGGTTTACAACACTGCAATCCTCAGTGTGTCCATAACATAATGGCAATTTCAGTGGCATTTACTTCAAGTGGTCTGCAAATTTACAGTCCAATCTTACTCCCTAGGAATACTTGCGGAGGATTGCTGCCGTATTTAAAAGTAATTTCCATCAGCCACATAATACGTTAGGAAAATATTACCACACTATCAAGTGATAAGTGCATTGCTTTATGACCAATCAGCTGGACCTTGTATCTCATTACGACCTGTATTTCAAGACAAAGTAGTGATTGAAAGATACAGATATGGACTTGTTGACTAAAAGTGGATCACCAAAGGCATCAATAACTTGAAAAAGGCATGAATGTAGCTTGGCCCTTAACAGTAAGTGGGCTTTGCATGTGCCAGTTTTGAAAGGAGCACTTGGCCTTTTCACTGCATTTGTAACAGTTTGTCTGCAAGTCCTGCTGGAGGGTTCATAGCTGAAGTTACGGCACACTCCTCAAGTAAGTCAGCAACTTTCCTATGCAACACTGGTATACAAAGTTTTTGTTGAATGCCTTTTCTGTCTGGTTAAAGTCTGGGAAGAGATTCAAGAGATTCAGTTTCCCAGAACTGAAACATATCTCTTACTCACTTTTGAGAGAAGCAGCATATGCATAACGAACTGATTTTTTTTTCTTATGAAGCCTCTTCCCTGTCCCATCCCCCCCAAAAAGTATCATTGTCACAGTCTGTACCCCCCCGAAACTGGCCTGAAGATCCTTGCAGATTCCATAGAATAAACATGCGAACGAATGCAGGGGATCAAGAAGTGTCAGAGAGGAGAGCAAAGAGCTCTGCCCTTCGATGTCTCCAAAAAAACTATCATATCTCTTAAAAAGAGAATTAATATAGGTCGGATCGGTTTAATCTGCTGCTTCATCTAAACAGCAAATCCTTCGAGAAGAGGCAGGAAGGGGAGAATAAAGGAGCCCTGCAGCCCTTCCCGCACCTAGTAACGTGCCCTGAAACCTGCCAGCTAGGAGAGCGAAGGAAACGTGGCAAAGGGAAGCCCGTACATGGCTCAGACTTGGTGTAGCCTGCTTTCGGGCTCTCCACGGTGATGCAAAGGGATCAACCCGCAGCAACAAAGCCGCACAAAGGAGCACCTCCTCCCGTCAGTCAAGCGCCCCCACCCCGACAGAGGCGCCCGTGTTTCGGGAGCCAAACTAAGCACCCGCTCCACCCCCCACCCAGCTTCCCCGGGAACTGCCAAGGTTGATTGATGGCAGGGGAAGTAATCTTACCTGGAAATCGACCGAGCTTTAGAGCCTGGAAGAGAGGGGGCTACTCCGCAGCACCACCCTCGGTTCACAGGCTCGACAGATTACTGCTTTTGTGCCTGCCTTGCCCGCCCGCCCGCCTGCCTGCCTGCCTGCCTGCCTCAGTTTTGGTTAGTTCACCAGCACTGCCGATGCGGCCATTGAGCAGGAGAAAGCGAAAAGGTCCCGCTGCCAACCAACCTGAAAGGAGAAGGGGCGGGGCCAAGGCAAAGGGGCGGGGCCTCCCCGCCCGCTCGGCGCTCAGAGCGGGCTTGCAAGGGGCTCCTTTTTCATCGCCTTCACCAGGGCGCGCGTCCTCTGGGCGGCCCGCGACGCCCGTTTTAAAATACAGCTCAAAGAACCAAACCCGATTCGCACTGTAAGAGGCGCAGTTAATCCTGCATCTTCTGCTTGAATAAGATCATTTGACTGCTGCAGGAGAAAGGAATGTATCGAAGAAAGACTGTTGAATGCACGGTGACTCCGATGCCAGTGAGGCTCCTTGTTTATTTGTTTGTTACAGCTATTTTCCTTTTTTCCTTTCAAGGAACTCAAATCGGCTTACATGATTCTCCTCCTCCTCAATCTTATCCCAGCAACAACAACCCTGTAGGGTAGGTTGGGCTGAGAGTCTGTGACTGGCCCAAAGTCACCCAGTTGGTTCCATGGCCCAGCAGGGACTAGAAGCCAGGCTGCCTGAGTCCCTGTCCCACACTCTTAACCACTCCACCACTCTGGCTCCCAGCTCTTACCCATTACATCTTTGATCATGCTTAAGGCAGTGCTCCATGGTGTTCCATAGTGGTGAACTTGTTTTGGAAATGGAGTTAAGCACCATCTATAGCTCCTCAAGAGCTCAGAATGAAGCTGCAATGAATATGGAGCCCTGCAGATACAGGAGTCACCAGCCATTCCTGGATGGAAAAACTGAATCGCAAGACAACATTTTTACTGCAGCCCCCAAAAGCAGATCATGAAACAAACTGATCTGGATTCCTTTCTATTCCCAGCCAGCCAAAACAGGCCGTAAAACTGCACCTGTGCCTGCCAGATCATACTACAACTCCCATGAAGGCAACACCAGCTGAACATTATCGAAGTTGTAGTCCAACTACAACTGGACTAGAGAGTGCCAGGTTGGGATAGGCAGATATAAGGGCTTGTAGCACGTGTGGGGTGGCAGCAGTGGGGAAAGTGCAATGGCGCCTCAGGATGTCCTGATATGTTGCCAATGTTATCAGGATTCAACTAGCAGAGCATACAGATGCAACTGCTGGCAGTTCTCCTACACAGCATCCTACATAGTGTTGCTGTCAGAAATCCTGGAAGGCATCTCTTGGACCAAACACTTCACTTCTAGCTGGTATTCTCCTCCAGCTGCACAAGTTTGATAGCATCTTTTAGCAAAATTTGGCTAGTATTCATAATCTTTGCAAGGATGAATAATTGATGTGGCTGCAAAAGGGGCAAATGCTATTTTGGCTGCATTCATAGAAGTATTACTTCAAAATCACATGAAGTAATTCTAGTTCCCCTTTATTCAGCACTGGTTATACCTCATCTGGAGTAATGTGACCAGTTCTGGGCACCACCGTTTAAGAAAGATGCAGACAAGCTGGAAAGGGATCAGAAGAGGGCAAGAAGGATGATCCAGGAACTAGAAACAAAGCCCTTTGAGCCAAAATTGAAAGACCTGGGCATGTTTAGCTTCAAGAATGAGTGACTGGAATACCCTGAATATTTGACATTAAAACTCACAAATTATAGTACAAGTACACAGGTTCTGCTTATGAGCTTCTCACTGTGGCAGCTGCCTCTTACAGTGCCTTCCTATGTGTGTCTACCAGAAGTAAGTCCCACTGAGTTTAATGGCACTTACCCTCAGGTAAATGTGTATTATATTGCAACATTAAAAGTTAGCATCCTGAACTCAGAGCAAGGGAATACTTCTGTGCTTATGAGAAGTTCTCATGTTATATTTTGGGGGTACTAATATAAGTGTTTGCTATTTGATTTGCATCTGGAATCTTTAGTGTATACAATTAGAGCAGACAAATTCAAGGAAATCTGCACAAACAGATCAAATATAAAATGGCTTTCTGTGCATGTTGGACTCCTCTTTTCAGCTGCATGGCATTACGACCTAGGTACATTTAAAAGAAATTGTTCTGCCCACAATTTTAGTGGCAGAAAAACATGGCATAAAATGTCTCCTCAGCTGCAGTTTGACCCTTATTCTCTTGCTAATTTCACTTTATGGGGATTTGCAAAAAGTGAAGCAGCCTTTCTGTGGAAGAATTGGGTTGATAGTATAATTTATACTTTAGATCAGCTAACTGGATGAGATGATGAATTCTTCCTATTTTCAGTGTTGGAAATGTAAACAAAAGCATGGTACCTTTTACCATATGTGGTGGACTTGTGATAAAGCAAAAAAATACTGGGTTAAAATACATAGATGGCTTGGAGAAATGTTACAGAGACCTGTAATATTTAAACCAGAAATACTTTTGTTAGGCATTCTCCCTGACAACTTCAATAAAGTATATATTTGACTTCACATGTAATCACAGTGGTGAGGATTGTATTTGCACAATATTGGAGGAATCAAGAGTTACCGACTGAAGATTTTAAAGAAGATATTGGACTGTGCAGAAATGGACAGACTGACTTTATCTCTTAAGGAAAAAGAAGATACATGCTATTATCAGACATGGGACTTTATCATTGGTTAGAGAAATGGAATCTCAATTAGGGCTGAAATATATAGTAACTGTAGAGAGAATAAGATTTTGAACTCAGTATGTGTGAAGTCTTTGAAATAATTATTTGTTTAGAGTGTAGAAAACAATAAAAAATGTTGAAATCAGAGTTCTTCCTATTTTCAATACTACAGAATAAACATCACAACTAGTGCTGGGCAGCAGTATATCCTTCAAAGCACCTTTGGGTATTTGTGTAAGGGCATCAGCGAAGAGTGATTCAGCACCTTCTACATATACCACTGGAGGAATGAATTAGTTCTTTGCAGAAATCTATGTCCGAAGCAGCTGTTGTAAATGTATTTTCAAATATCATAAGGAAAGGAAAAGGAAACTGGAATGCTCTCTATAGTGTAGCTCATGGAAAGTTGCCTTAATTTCCACCTGTTCTGTTTATGCAAATACACCTTATTTTCAAGTCTGTGTTAGTTCAGTCTTATTGAATGCTGGTCTAACAGAGCAAGGGAATGCTTCCATCCTTACAAAGTTATCACATTACATTTGGGGATTGTTAACACAGTGTGTTAAAGATGAGATTGTTTTAACAAATGCTGCAACAAATGCTGCAATGTCCTAAAGAGTAACTTTTCCAGAACAGTCTGGAAGGATTCAGGATACTGGCTCCATGTTCCACTCTATTCCAGAACAGGGGATTCATACATTAAGTAAAATAAATCCATTTGTTTCTTACAGATACAAAACTCTGGAAATACTACAGTTTATTCTGTTTCCCTTTTAAGTTTTATCTGGTCAAAGTGCTTCTAGCCAATTTTTTTGTGTGTCTTTGCCTTGTTTCATTCATGGAATTTCATCAGGGTCCCACTGTTGTAACTTTCACTCATAAACCTCCAGTGGTTCTGCACTTTTCTTTTTTTCCTACTACAGAAAATTTGTTAATGTAAAAAACAAAACAGAATAGTTGTGTACTGCCTTCCAGTTGGTAGTGCTCAGAGCACTTTGGAAAGCACCTCTCCTCAGAAACAGCAAAAACAAAAACATGTAGGACTTACTTTAGCATTCTCAGAGGACTTCCCAGCTAGAGATCACATAGAGAGAAAGCATAGATTCTTAGTAGGTGCAAAAAGACATTTCCAAACTGTCTCTTCTTGTTTAAACAGAGACCTTTGTTTTCTTTTCAAATGGCATTTATGCCTTAATCCCCTCCAAATATCAGGGGTACATTACAAATAAGCCCAGAGAAGTACACCATGAAAGCAGAGAAGAGATTTGAGGTTTTAGCCAGAAGCCAGGATTGCTTTGGTGAATCTCAAAAGGAATGTAAGAAAGGCCAACATTTTTCTTTTTTGCCACTTCTGCTAGCAAGGTGGTGAAACAACTAATAGTTTTACCTCTTTCAACAGTTCATGAGCAAGGCTGGCTGAAACATCTGGGGACTGGGGTGGCAGCAGCATGGAAATAATGCAAGGCAATACCAATTGCCAGGCCAGCTCAAAATGATTAAAATGTATATTCAGCTCTCTCTGCCATTGCCTCTATGCTGTTGATAACAGACATTAAAGATGTATTTCAAACATTGAAGAAAATAGAATGAAAGGAATGAGGAAAAAAAGGTTTGCGCAGGTGCTGTGCCAGATCAGTTTTAACATGCTTTAAGTATGATATAATTCTGCCTATACTTCCTTGAAAAGACAAAACATGCCCTCTCCAGCTCTATTATTCTACGGTTTTATAATAGGTAAGAAGCTAGTCCTCAAAGGAAAGACAAAAGAAAAGCACAATACTCTCAAAATGAGCTGGATAAACTTACCAAAATGAACTATTTCTATTTTCTAAATATTTTCCATTGTTTTGTCTGTTTCCTGTGAATTGATAAAAATTTCATTCTGAACTGGGAAAAATTAAGAAACACTGTACTATACAAAATTCAATACACATAATCACTGTAACAATTAGATCTGTAAACCTGGCAGAAGATAATCCATTCCTAGCAACTGACGTTTGAATTTTGATTGCTAAATCATTGCCTAATCACATGTTGTAACTTATGGACCACTATTCTGTAATTTCTTTTTAAGGTAAACATCTTCCCAAACATGCTATGCACTCAGTGAACCTATAAAAGCAAGTCTGTACTCACCCAGATTTGTGAGGGATACATGTTAGGAGATGCTACATGACTCATTGGCTTAAAGAACAGGCTACTAGGAACTTTTCATTCCACACAGGAAATGAGTTTTCTGGCCTTTGCTAAAGTTAAACTCACAAATAACAAGACCATGTTTATTCTTAATCTGCTTTTTGGTGTGGAGAGTATGATACATGGACAATTTGGTATAGGACTCACAGCCAAATAACACATTATGTGGAATTTGCTGTAGCTTCACCAATTTGAAGAGAACAAGCAACTCCTTTTTTCAATTAGGCTACAATTAGGAGAGGAGGAACTTCAAACGAGATGCATAATACTGTCCATGGCAGTTAGTCCACTTTAAAAGAAAATACTTATTTAAACTTTTGTTTACTTGCCAAGTGACAACACAGTGCAAATGTGTCATTACAATCCTGTTTACACTACATGTAGCTCTGGATGATGTAATCAGAACATGAACTAGTCTTCTGTTTATTACAGAAATACTTACTAAATAAAGCTGACTATTCTGATAATTTCCCATCCATGAATCAAACTTGATCCAGAATGAAAACTGGGTACGGATTTAAATTATGAGTTCTTCCAGATAGGTGTTCAGGTGTTATCAGCGTGCCTTGCCAGCTGGTGTTTTTAGGCTGCCCACGTCTGCAATCATTCCATGTTTCCCCCCATCCTCACCGTTAGCCTCATGTTTTCTTACACTGAAGAAAATCTGTTTATTATTTCCTGGTTTACTGATTATCCTACAAGAAAGTCGCATGATGCCCTTATTTCACGATCTTGTGGTGCTTTATGGAGAGTAGATGTGTAAAGTGATGTTATCAGGGGCATTTTTTCATGGCTTTAGGATGGCTAGACAGATCAATTTTTCTCTTGCCTGGGAAATGGATTCTCTCTGCTGTTCCTACTTTTTCCTTCATCCCACCCACCACACACAGAGACCCTTTTAGCAACAAAAAAGGTAGTGCCTGTGATACTACCAGTAATATTTGCATAGGTCTGTGTTTCTTCAGATCTGAAAGACCTAAGGGCTTTTATTCCTGTGTTAAGTGCACAAAACTCAATTTGTATGAGAACCATGGCATTTTGAGAACAGAAGTTAAACCTCTCTCTACACTGAAATTTCACACCCTGCAAAGGTTTTTTAAAGAAGAAATTACTAGAATAGATACCTTTTGTGACACCATACTTGCAGGTGGTATGGAATGTCAGGGTAAAATCTGATTGTGTGTGTTGTGGGAAAAGTTGTAACCTTTTACAACCCAGAACACACAGATCTGTTCCAAATCACGGTGATGGGCACTTGGGCTAAAGATGAAGCAGCGAACCATCCGACTACCTAAATCAAGAAATTCTGGGAAAGAAATGAACAATTGCCATGACACAAAGAATGCGGGAGAAGGGTTTTGGCAGCATCTCTGCTTACTGGTGCAATAGAAGGCTGGAGTATGTAATAGTGAGTTCCCCAACAGCATGGCAGTACAAGGATTTTCTGCTTGTATTTCACAGTGGAAGTACAATGATTGGTGACAATAGAAGCCATCCAGCTGAAAGTGCCCATAAAAAATGGGTCTGTTTGTAAAAGAAAATTGCCTTCTTTTGGTTCTTTGGCTGTATATGATGAGTTGCAGTCAGGGTAGACTAGATTAGTGCCTCTTGGGACATCATTATATTATGATGAGTCTAGAGAAAATAAGCAGAGGTAATGGAAGGTGAAAAAGGAGAAATGACAAATCCACAAATGTTGTTCAATTTTTATTTAATGGTAAAAGTGCAGAATGGTAGGCAATAATACAACTATACCCCAATGCACTCTATACTGTAGTCCTATAGGAGTCCCATAAAAATGCTTTAGAGCAATTCCAAAGGCTGATCAACATGACAATATTTAATTTTGATAAGGGCCTGAGCTATGTTTCAGGAACGACTACTGTGGAAAATCTGTTTGCAATCTTGGATTCAATCCTGTGCTTTTGAAGTCTTCTTTGCCATTAATTTTCTTTATAAGGATTTAGCAATTGTCAAGTGGAGACAGATCCAGGGTGCAAAGTATTCATACACAACCCTTCATTATAAGTAGCAAATTAGAGCTGGCATGTGCCTGCAAGTTTCTGGTAAAGTTACTATAGTTCAAACATTTCATTTTTACAAGCACTACTAAATGCAATAAAAACACGTTAGGGTATAATTATATATACCCGTTCTTACAAAAAAATCTTTTTAAGTTTAGACTCCTAGCTAATATTTGAACCATCCCTAGTAAAGCTTAAGGCATGGCTTGGACAAGTAGGACAAGCAATCCAAGTCCAAAATCTCTCTCATCCTTCTAGTAGTCATTTGTATGAATCTATGTGTACTCATCCAAGGACAGTAACTTCTTAACTGATTATACTGTCAACATTGATCTTCAAGTTTTGCAGTCAGGATTAGAAAAACAAAGTAAATAGGTCTGTATTCTCAAGAGGATTAAGGGGTTACAGTTTTCAAAATTTCAGGCTTGTCCCTCCCCATGGTGTGATATGGCAAGGTAGTCTGCTAACCAAAGGAAATGAGTAGTGAAAAAGGAGGATGGAAGTCTGATATTTTCCTAGACAGTGCCATTATTCACTACAGAAACCTAGTGTATTTTCTTAATTCTACTCTATGCCACAGCACCACCTTCTGCTGTATAATGGAACATACAGAGAGGCAGAAAGGAATACCCCTGGAAAAATACCTTGGATGAAGGCTGCTCTAATCCCTCTGCAAAGACAATGGAAGCAACAACCTTGGCAGAACAATGGGTTGTATGCCGCTTACAACTCATCTTTGTATGCAAAGAAGCTCTTAGTCATCGTGTATAAAATTTATAATAAATGCATTTGGTAGAAGTACACTACTGTGTTTCTTTCATATGGATACAAATGAGGATACTTTGCAGTAGCAAGTGCAAACCCTTGAACTTCAAATAGCTCTTTTAATCTGCTGTGCCTTCTCTTAGCTGGGCCTTGGCATGTCACCTGATTTCTCAATTTCCTCTTACCTTGTATAATTTTTCAATGCATAGAGAAGGTTCTTGTACTATTCCATTCTGTACCAGAAAACTGACTCAGTAGTAGAAAATACCCCCAACACAATCTGGAGATATCTACAGTGATATTTTATTAGCTACATACAATCATATCATTTATCTTACTATGCATTTACTGAATATATGTATTACATCTGACCCAACTAGCTAGGTACTGCAATCATTTGAGGCCCCTGATGCAATATTCTGAAGTAACCACAGAGTAATAGAGTTTAGTTCGTTCTTCAGAACAATACCAGGAGTTCCTCAATTAAATCAGTGCTAATCCAGTAAGTATATTTCCATAACCATGAAAAACTGAAGACTGAACAAAGAAACCCAAACTTTTCTGTACATTTGACAATGAAACAATACAAAAATAACATTTGTCACGAGTAACTAGTGTTATCAGAGATACTACAGAGACATTAACACCTATTCAATCCTATAAAGTAGAATCAGCTTTGAAACAGTGATGCTTTAACAGTGCAGGTTCTATAGTACCACATTAATCAATGTTGCTAATTTTATTGCAGTACCAGAAAGCAGTAGACAAAGTTTTTATTTGGGAACAGTGGTTATCTCTCACCAAGTACTCTATAATTTATTGCTTAATTATATTAACAGGAAACAAATAGGCTCTTCATCTAATGCACTAGACAGGAAATACCAGTCACTTACAAAGCAACAAATCTGGCATTACTCAGAACATTCCCTTATCTGTGCATTAGGAGTTAAACCTTAGACTGGTAATTGCCGCCACCACATTTAGTGGTTTCTTTATATTTGACTTTACTTCTAGTTGATATTCATTTAGCAAGTTTTCATAGTTGGATGAGACTAATGATATTATTCTATTAAGGATTTTAAATCTGGAACATTTTTAATCTGGAAGTCTAGTAGCATCTGCCCAAATGCCTTGCCCTGTAAAAAAAAAAAAAAAAAAGAGGAGGAAAAGAAATCTGCAAGCACTGCTTTATGCAACAAAGGTAATTTCTTATACATACAAGAGGAAAACAAACAAGTGTTTCAACTAAATAGTCTCTCCCTGCATTTGAAATGCAACTTCCTTCAGTGAATTACAAGTTACTTGTGATGGGGAGACTAGCCTTATTCTCAATCTGCACTTCTCATTTAGTTATCTTATGGCTACAATTTGGGCTGAGGATAGAAGTCTGTATACCAGGGACTGGAAAAATGTGGTCCTCCAGATATTGTGGGACTCCCATCAACCTTAGGAGGCATAGGTAATGCTGAAGGATGATGGATATTGCAGTGCAATATCTGGAGGGCCATGCCACCCACCCCGGCTCTATAAAAAGAGATGCTAAAGAAGAGGTGGTTCATGTGAAAGATAAGATTTACTGGAGTGCATAAAGTTCAGAATGAAATACCATATTGTCCAGTGGTGGTAGAACTTTTTACTCTATATTCCTTTGTCAGAAGCTATGTTTGCAGATGCTGAAGGCAGGGGGAAGCAAGGGGCACCTTAGCAGATATCACAGGATAATAGTAGCTAGACAACTATTTCAAGACTAATAGGTTTCTTGTGACTTAAACTTTAGTGGATTAGAGTTCATTTCCTTACCCTATAGATTTATTTTTGGATGACAACTCCTAGCTGGCTGGAGGATACTGCAATCCAATTCAACCAGAGGATGCAAGTTGTGGATGGCTGCTCTGTACTCATCTGTCATACAACATATACTGGATAAAGTGGTCTCCAGTACATACAAGATTGAAAGTGCCACAAGAATTCATGTTGTGCTGCAACACCGTAACCTTTTCAGAATCAAATACCTACCTGTGGGTCACTTCTCAGAGATGCTGTACCACCACCACCAAGGGAGTTCTTCAGAACAAAGTTTAAACCATGGATTCCTGGCAAGACGTACCTGTAAAGATACATTGTAGATACGTGCTTCATCAACTTAAACTTCAAATGGTTTAAAAAAGATTCCACTGATAACACTGGTCTACAAGGAGAAAGTCTCGGAAATGAAAGTTAACTAAATTTTACCAGAACTGGGTCACTAATACAGGAAAATCAAGTCCTAAGTATTAATTGGATCCAGTTTCCAAGATACAGCTTCAGATCAAAATTGCATCAAAATAATTCAAAATTATGAGGGAGATGTGCAATTATGCTCCATACCTTTTCTGCAAAGTGTGATACAGCAATGAAAATGGTGCCACACCAATAATTATAAATTTATCTTTTTATTGATACCAATAACATAACTTTCCATTCATTTATTGGTTTTTCATGTAACATTTTCAGGTTTGGGTCCGCTGACATCGATGGCCCCAGATCAACTGCATCCCGCTCATTGTTGTTATCATCATCTGAGTCTGGAGAGTAGGATTCTGATGGATCTGGAATTGGCAAATCCTCACCATGGGGTACAGGACGCAGTATAGGTGGAATGTTTAGATATTCCATGGCCCACTTCTCCTTTCTTGAGATCCCTTTTGCAATTAGGGGAACCATGCAAAAGTAGCAGTCGCTGCTATGACTGGTGGGTTCCCTCCACACCATTGGGACTGCAAAAGGCATGGAGCTCTTCTTCTTGTTTAGCCAATGACGCAGATAAGTTGCACATGGAATGCAACAATAATGAGGGGCCCAACTCTTGTCCTGAGCCCATATTTTGCATCCAAAATATGGGTGGTATGTCTTTTTTACCACTGCGGTCATACTGCACTTTTGAGATTCCAATGTAACCTTGGCACAAATGTAGCAGAAGTTATCTGCATTGTTTACACAGTTTCAAGGCATCTTGGCTTCTGAGGGAAAATATCATGCAACTGTTCCTTGGAAATGTTAGGCAATGACACTTTCACAAACCACCAGATGTAACTGTATGATGTGTTAATCTGACCTAGACAAATGCACCTTGCAATAAAAGAACAATAAATGACAGTTAGATAATAATCTTTAGTCTTGAAGGGAAGATAAATTTATACCCTTCCATGTGGTACCACTTTCATTGTTCTACCGTACTTGGTTGAGAAGTTACGAGACATCATGATCATCAGACACCTCCCTACCTTGTCGGCAAATATACTAGCCTATGTATAAATCTTTATTGTGAAATATCTTGAAAACTTTAGCCAACCAGCACCTTTTATCATGTTTTCTAATTCATCTAATCATAATATGTAAGAATTAGCACATTTTATCTCAGAGGTCAATAATTTCCCAAAATTTGTAAACCAGTGTAATTGTAGGAAGTCACACTGGACTATCAGTAAAGGAAAAGATAGAAATTTCTGAAGATGCCTTCAAGGAACTAAGTCATATTTATATAATAAAAGTTAATTTCTTTTAATGACTATGCACATAAAACCAACAAAGTACGAGATGATAGTGACTGAATTTGTAGTTTATTTCCAACTTGCTGGGGGGTAGGGGACTACAGGGAAGAAGAATTCTACGAGTAGTTTCCCTTCTGCTAGCAGAATGACACCATTGGGTCCAACCTCAACTTAGAAAACAACATCTAAGAATTCCTTTTAAGAATCAGCATTAACATCTACAGAATTACAATACTTCAAACTATGGGAACTTCTTTCTGTTTACCTTAGTCATCAGAAGGAAGTCTTAACATGAGACTCTTGCAACATTTTAAGAAACTGCTTAGGTTTGGACCTCTATGTTGAAACAGTTCTATAAACCATGGAGAACTACTAACAATAACTGCCCTGGCTGTTCATCTTGGGTGTGCCCTTGAAGTAAAAATGACAAAATTTCATGCACATCATGAGATGGCAAGACTCATTGGAGAAGACAGTGATGCTAGGGAAAGAAGAAGGCAGAAGAAAAATGGGAAGACCAAATATGAGATGGATTGACCCCATAAAGGTAGCCACAGCCTTCAGTTTACACGAGCTGAGCAGAGCAGAGCTGTCACAACGTATCAGAGAGCACTCATTCACAGTGTTGCCATTAAGTTGAAAATGACTTGACAGTGCATAACCACCACCCCCCTAGAATATTCAAGAAGGAACCCCCAGCAGAGCTCTCATAAATGTCTCTCCAAAAGTAAGCTCTACTGAGTGCAAAGCAGCTTATTCCCAGGCTACTGTAAGGAATCTGCAGCCTCAAGGTCACTACTGAAAGGTCAAGTTTAGCATAACACCTAACCAAGAGGAAGATAATGCAGAACCTGGAAAATTAGTGCAATATGTTCTCTCTAGGGAGTGGGCCCATTTTTCCCAAATGCAGCATTCCAAGGTGGTTACCTCAGATGCTGAATATTAACTGGAAAAAGCAGCAGAGACAGAATTCCTAGCTCAGATTCCAAGGCCAGCAAGCTCTGAGATAAGCCAAGCAGCTAGTGAGAACCAGACCACATTTGGTTCTAGGAGAGACACTGCTGAACATACAGGGACAGAAAGGGAAGAATGTAACATCATCAGATCCATCATCCAACACCAGCTCAAGAGAACAGACCAGCTGAGTAGTGTCCACCTTTCCTGCTGCTTTGTCAACAAGCAGCAGGAACTTCTGTGAGACTGGAACTAACTCAAGTAATGAAGGAAGTAGAGGAATTCAGTTCCAAATCAACTTCCTGATATGAATGGTAATCCCTCTAATTAGCTGGCTTGCTAATTTGATATATTTTGCTAATAGACGTATTACATCTGCAGTATCTTTTTGTATCACAAACATAACTTGGCTTACCCACTTTCACATAATAAAAGACTGTAGCTAGAACCTTTTGTCTTCAACTGCTTGGCTGGAGAAAGGCAGAGACAGGCTCCCCACATTCTCAATTACTTGCTGCTATTAGTTGGAACAGTATTCAAAGAAAAACCTTAATGTTATAAAGCCATGAATGGCATTTGCCCTATTTGAAGACAATGGCTATAATTCTGAGTTTGCTTTCATAGGCACAATCATCCTGAGGCTCCTACCAATGGGAGGAGAAATACAAGAAAATTGACTTCCCTGCTTCTACAAGGTGGATCCTTTGCTGGACCTTGGTTCCACCTGTTAAAGGAATGGCCTCTTTGGTTCACAGACATCTAGTTACAACTGATGTACCAAACTGAGTTTATAAGCCTCAGCATGTTGTAGCACCCACAGGGGCCAGACTGCCAACCAAAGTCCTTCTTTGTCTTCTTGTGTCACCCAAATTTTGCAAGAGTGGTTTGTTTGGGTGGTTAACAAACCTGCCCACAACACTACAACAGGTCATGGGTTCTTGTTAACCACTCCAAGAAGCCAACCCAGGAAGCCATGACAGTGAGCTTAATTATGCAAATCAGCTGGCGCACAACCAACATGTGCACAGTGGTTAACAAGCCATTATACTTTGTTAACCACCTTGTGATTGTGCAGACCCAGTGAGCTGATATTTGTCTTTGAAAGTCCTTTGTTCAAGAATGGTTATCTTATAGTAATATGGCCTTAACATTACTATTCTTGATTTGTGACTATTTTTGGTTTACATAAAGACTGACCCGTTTGTTCAAGGTAGAATTTAGTAAGGCACAGATAGAAAATGATAGTCTATATTACATTGGAAAATGATCAGCTGAATTTTATGGACGGCATTATTAAAAGGCCCTACTGAAGTTTCATCAGCACTTCAGAAAGCTTCAACCCGTAGTGGTCATATAAGTAGCACCCTGTATCAGAAACCTACAGACAGTTACAAGCTGTCTACCATGCTTCCAGCTTCTACTCAGAACACACCACAAAACCTACTGACTACAACCAAGCACTACAATAAAGCAGGTCACTTACCTGTTCTTCGAGTGGCCATCTGTGCAGTCACACATGTGGGTTCTGCACCTGCGCAGTGCCTGTGGCCGGAAGAGTGATAGCTAACGGTCTTGGTGAGAAAACTCCCCTCCCCTCCCCCCGAGCAGTATATATGGAGCAGAGTGTCCACCATTTTCCAGTCTTTGAAAGACCGGACGTTTGAATTCTAGAGAAAAATGGAATCAATAAACAGAACGATGTCAGCAACGCCGACAAGTTCGAGAAATACCGTATAGGTACCGAGGACAAGAATAACATGGTACTGAGAAAGAAACACCACCCAATGACACCGAGCAGGGCCGGCGGGTGGGTTGTGTGACTGCACAGATGGCCACTCAAAGAACATCAGTTACAGGTAAGCAACCTGCTTTTCTTCGTCGTAGCCTCTGTGCATCACACATGTGGGTAGATTAACAAGCTTACCCTGAATGGAGGAGGGCGGTGTCATCAACAAAGAATTGATGAAAGAACGGCTCTGCCGAAGGAACAGTCCTGTCTGGCACGGACATCCAGTCGATAATGCTTTGCGAATGTGCATGGGGCAGCCCATGTAGCAGCTCTGCAGACAGTGTCGATCGGGATGCCAGACGCGAAGGCGGAAGAAGCAGCAACAACTCTAGTAGGATGACCTTTTGGGAACGTAGGTAAGTCCAACTTAGCTAATTGATAAGAGAGAATAATGGTTTGTACTACCCACTTAGAAAGTCTCTGAGGAGTGACTGGAGAACCTTGATTGTATTCAGAATATTTCACAAACAGATTGTTGGAGTGCCGAATAGACTCAGTCCTTGATCTATAGAAGGCAAGGCAATGTCGAACATCAAGGGTGTGTAATGACCACTCAATCGGATTCGACGGAGATGGAAAGAAAGCAGGTAAAACCACTTCCTGGTCCATGTGGAAGGAGGTAGCCACTTTGGGGAGAAAGGCTTGATCCATCCATAGAACTACCTTCTCCTTATGGAAGTTCAAGTATGGAGGGTACACCCTAAGGGCACAGAGCTCACTAGCCCTCCATGCTGATGTAACTGCTACAAGGAATGCAGTTTTCCAAGAGACAAGATGGAGATCACTTGTTGCCAAAGGTTCAAAAGGAGGTCTTGTTAACGCTTGTAACACCAC